CTCAGGAGGCTGAGGCAGGAGAATTGCCTGAACCCAGGAGGCGGAGGTTGCGGTGAGCCGAGATCGCGCCATTGCACTCCAGCCTGGGTAACAAGAGAGAAACTCCGTCTCAAAAAAAAAAAAAGATCACTGGAAGAGGTCTTCACAGTTTCAAAAGGAAGGAGCATGCAGCATGAAAATGACAGAGTATGTTAAAATTATTAAGATGGCAAAGTTTGTTCTTTCTATTTTTCTGCACTTTCCAACAGTTTTACAGTGACAATTAGCTTATTTGTAATCAGAAAAAACAATTAATCAATTTTAAAAAGCATTATGTCTTAGAAGGATACCGTATAAACTATGGAGACAAATTAAAGGTAAAATTTGTATTTCTTCTAAAAAAAAATCAAAAAGCAGAAAAATTCTGCCTGTTTCTTGGTAAAAGTCAAGTTGACCACATTTTCAAAAAGAAAATTGAGAGCATGATCAGAAAAGTACAAAAACTGAACAAAAAAGATAAAATACTTAAAATGAAAAGCACATTCAAAAACCTGAAACAAAAGAATCCTAGCAATATAGAAGCAGATGGGTCAAGGTTCAGCAAATGGTGCCAGACTGAACATAAAGTTCTTATAAGTTATATCAGGAGCTGCTTTAAACATCCCTTTGCAGGTCATATGTCTATATTTCAGGCCTCAGAAGTAAATCTAGAAATTCCCAAGGGGAAAAAAAGTCACTAAAATATTGGTCCAGAAGAAGAATAGTATGTACAAACCTACAAGTTTATAAAAGAGAGAGAGAGAAGCTTGCCAGTTCTTTGTTAATGTAAGTGTTAAAATTTCTCTGAATTTGAATGCAATATAAATTTCTTCAGAGGGTGATTTAAAAAAGAAAAATCAGGCCGGGCACCGTAGCTCACACCTGTAATCCCAACACATTGGAGGGCCAAGGCAGAGAAATCACCTGAGCTCACGAGTTCGAGACCAGCCTGGCCAACAAAAACCCCGTCTCTACTAAAAATACAATAATCAGCCAGATGTGGTGGCAGGCACCTGTAATCCCACCTACTCAGGAGGCTGAGGCAGGAAAATCGCTTAAACCCAGGAGGTGGAGGTTGCAGTGAGCTGAGACTGCACCATTGCACTCCAACCTAGACAATAGAGCGAGACTCTGTCTCAAAATAAAAAAAAAAAAAAAGAAAGAAAACAACTAAAAAAAATAAACTTAAGTAAACCCTAGGTTTGAGCTTTCTTCCTTTAATCCACAGATTCCATTGCTTTCCTTTATCTGGAGGCCCAGCTTTTAACATTTGTGTCCTAGATGCTGCTTTGTGAAAAGGGGACAAATGGGAATGATATTGAATCTTGTGATATGTTATTTATTAGGAATCAGAAAGGCTTCCCCCACAGGAACCAAGTGGGTTAAATATGAAACTCAACACTTTCTCAAATTCAGCATGTAGCTTTGGGTGAAAAGAAGAAGTTTTGAAAAAGAAATATATGAGCCAAAAACATTTTTTCAAAAAACATAAACTACTAGTGTAGTCTTTCTAGCAGTTCTTTGAAGGGAAGTCATTCCTTTGCATTCAAAAGCATTGGGCTAGGATAAACAGAGTTCGAGGAGACCAGGGGATGGGTGGGCACTTGCTTCAGCAGATCAGTTGATGAGGATCAGAGCAAGTTAAGGATGTGAGGCTTGGGGGAAAGCAGCAGAATAGACTGGGGCCATATGCAGCTGCTTTTCATGTGATTAGGGCCAGAAGGAGGTGAGTGAGGAAGCTGCTGGCATGTGGCCTGGAGCTGTCAAGGCTGAGATAGAGTGTTGTCCTACGGCCCTCTACCCTAGAGGAAGCACGGGCAAAACATGTCCCCGAAGGAAGCAAAGAACAGGTCCATGCAAAACACAATAGCAGAGCTAGGCTCTGGATTGGGTCTTCAAAACAGAAGTAAACCAAGTCCCTACCTGCATGGGATTCACAGTGTGAAGCAGATGTGTGAACAACCAACTTCAAAAGGAGGTGGTCAGGCCGGGCATGGTATCTGACATCTGTAATCCCAGCACTTTGGGAGGCCAAGGCAGGTGGATCAGTTGAGATCAAGAGTTTGAGACCAGCCTGGCTAACCTAGTGAACCCCATCTCTAATAAAAATACAAAAAAAAAAATTAAGCTGGGCATGGAGGCAGGTGCCTGTAATCCCAGCTACTTGGGAGGCTGAGATTCGAGAATCGCTTGAGCCTGGGAGGCAGAGGTTGCTGTGAGCCAAGACTGCGCCACTGCCCTCCACCCTGGTCAACAGAGCAAAACTCTGCCTCAAAAAAATAAAAATAAAAATAAGTGGCCAAATTTATGATGGAAAAGATATAAAAGCCCAAAGGAGAGCTTTCCCTTAGCCAGAGCTGGAAATGCTGAGGAAAGGAAGGCCTCCTGGGGACAGACACTTCAGATGAAATTTGGAAGATCAATAAGAGGCTCCTAAGCAAAGGTGCCAGGTGAGCAGACCTTACCCTAGCTAGGTACATTAGGACACAGTACAAAGAGAAAAAAACTGCAGGTCTACAGGAGTATATGGAAAAGAAACAACAGAATAAAGAAGAGGTTAAATGTTCCTGAAAAGAAATATTGTTTATTAGGATAATAAAACAGGCAAAAAGAGGTTAGCAATGACTCGTACTTTCCATCTAGTCAATCCCTTTTGGCCTGGAAAGTCACCCCTATTCTGTGTCATTCTTCTTCTCCTTGCTGTCTCTGTCTTAAACACGCATTTCTTGCAATTTTACACTGCAGCCATTCACTAAAATGGTTTCTGTACCAACTCATTGTATCACTGACACTGGCAGAGAGCAATTCTACATCAAGCAACTTAAGTGTTAAGAATGCATCTGCTTAACAATTGTAGTTGGGATCACACCTATAATCCCCAAACTTTAGGGGCTGAGGCAGAGCTTGAGCTCAGAAGTTGGAAGCAATCCTGGGCAACAAGTTGAAACACTGTCTCTACAAAAAATACAGAAATTAGCCTGGCGAGGTGCTGTGCGCCTATAGTCCCAGCTACTCAGGAGGCTGAGGTGGGAGGATTGCTTGAGCCTAGGAGACTGAGACTGCAGTGAGCCAAGATCATGCTACTGCACTCCAGCCTAGGAAACAGAGTGAGACCTTGTCTCATTAAAAATAATAATAATAATAATAATTAAAAAATAATAATTTGCTCCTCTTAGAAACACCTTACTCCAGAAATGCTGACTTCAGAGGACTTGGATCATAATGGGGTATTAGACTTGTTTCTCAAATCTCCACATTTAGTCAACCCCTAGAAATCCCATTCATTCCTCCCATTGCTGAGAATCTAGGTTTAAACAGAACAGGGAACAACCCCATGGAATTATCTCTCTACTAGAAATTGCAGGACCATAGCAGAGAGAATTTCCAAAGAAACCAACCCATTTAAGGAACTCCATTAAACTATTATGAGAAAGTAGGGTCCTACAGCAAATGACTGCTGCTAGTAGTTTGTGCTGAGGATTAGCAAATTAAAAGCAGACTAGATTTTGCTTAACTCTTATCAAGCCTTAAAAAAAAAAGAGAGAGAATTAAATTATAAAAGATTACATTAAATTATTTTTGGAAGACACCTGGTGAGATTCAAATTTTCAAATGGCCATTGTACAAATGCCTTATCCCATCTACTAGGTTTTATGCTAGCACAAGAAGTAGCTCTTGTTCACCATGTCATCTGACCTCTATGCCATTAGCTAAATGCTGCGCATGGTTTAGTCCCTCGGTAAAAATAAATTGAGTTTATTTTAACTGCCAGTTTAAGATGTGTATAAATATTTTCTCTTATAAATGTATAACAATTTATAAGACTTTTATAAATATTTTTTCACTGGTGACTTTAAAATGTAGAAGCCTCTGAGAGGATGACATAAATGCTTGCAGAATATTCATTAATTTTTTTCTTATAGTACTGTTAGTTTCTTATATTCGTATATTTTGACTAAAGTTTATTTTTAATTAATTGCTTTTTATATATAACTGACATATAATAATTGTGCATATTTATGGGATACAGTGTGATGTTTCAATGCATGTGTACATTGTATAATGATCAAATCAGGGTAATTACCATATCCATCACTTTAAACATTTGTCATTTCTTTTGGTGACAACATTCAAAATCTTCTATCTTAAATACAATCCATTGTTATTTGCTCTAGTCACCCTACTGTATAATAGAACACCCTACTGCATAATAGAATAGAAAAATACTTTCTGTCTCTGTGTTTTTTCAGTATGCCGAATTTCAATAAAATGTGTTTTTAAATTGTAGTTACTATGCTCCTGGAATTTTTTTTTTTTTTTTTGAGACAGTCTCGCACTGTCACCTAGGCTGGAGTATGATGGCACGATCTCAGCTCACTGCAACCTCTGCCTCCCAGGTGCAAGCGATTCTCCTTCCTCAGCCTCCCGAGTAGCTAGGATTACAGGCGCCTGCCACCACACCCAGCTAATTCTTTGTATTTTTAGTAGAGATGGGGTTTCACTATGTTGGCCATGCTGGTCTGGAACTCCTGACCTTGTAATCCACCCACCATGAACTCCCAAAGTGCTGCAATTACAGGCGTGAGCCACCACACTCGGCCACTCCTGGGAATTCTTATGGTGGCCATCTTGTCCAAGATGACAGAAACACAAGTCAGTTTCACCACAAATCTTGGTCAGCATGAGGAGAGAACTAAACTTGGTCAAATGCGTCAACTTTAAGAGTGAGTGAGGAAACAGGTAAACAGAGTTGAAACAGAGACTTCACTTCATGGAGCAGGTTAACAGCATTTCCCTTGCTCTTCTTTTACAGAAGTTAATGAATATGTGGCCTCGTCTTCTGAGTCATCCTAACCCAGAGGGAACCTAATGTCAACACTTGGTGTAAGGTGATCCAATTTGATAAAATTACTATTTATCTCTAATCCTTTAAGATTCTTCAGGTAAGTTTGCTTCCATGATCAAATTAATATAAAAGACCAACTAGTAAAGCTTAATGGAGCTCTAATTGCAATCATTTTGTTTACTCATAAAATATTCCCCTATCATAAACTTTGAAAAATCCACCCTGTCAACAAATTTCACTATGATCACAACCCAGGCCACTGCGGACTTCTGGGAGTCCAGCCTGAATAAAGACAGCAGAATCAGAACATATACTATAAAGAAATTTTCTGCAGATGTACGAGTCTTCCAACGTTTATTTTTTTACAATAAAAAGCTCATATTTATCCTTGCATATTGATTTACCTGTTATGCAATAGAAATATTTTGATCACAAATAACCTTTTCTTAAAGCGAGATGCGTTAAGAAAAATGTCTATTTATAGTTCTTATTTTGTCCATAAATTGCAGCAAACATTTACAGGTACAAGATCATTGAGGCATGGTGGATACATGGATATGTGCAGACACTGCCCACCAGTCATGCCACGGTTGAGTGCACAAAGTTCTCCCAGTTCTCCTCCCTAACTAGTGCTCCAGGAAGCCACTGTCTCCAGTCAGAATTGGCATGAGATGGAACCACTTGCCATCCTTCTTCTACATGTTTCTGATTGCCTGTGTGCCCTGAGACATGTTCCTAGATGATTCTGATCCTTCTGGCCAGAAGCTTGTGCACTTCAGCCCAGCTCTGCACATTCAACAGCTGTGGCTTTATGCTGCTTTGCTCATGTCTGACCAAAGCAAGTTGCCTAATCATACACATGGTCACAGGAAAAACATCAGGTAGAAAGCCACCTACAACCCTTTTTATTTTCTGCCCAGTCATTTGATCTGAAGTAAACAGGGTGACTTCTTTTCAAAGTATTAATTTGCTATTTCAGTATCGAGGTAGGATTCTGCTTTTTATATTTAACTTTCATGATTTTTAAAAAATAGATTAAATAAAATAATTCATGAATTTGCTATGTATTTCAGTGAGCTCCCTTTTTTCCAGCAAGTTTCCCTGTTTCCATTATTATTACATGAGGGCTAAAATATTGGGGAAGTCATAGTCATACACTTCTCTTTTTTATTATACCCCTAAATCTGGGAAATCAATGAGATCTATTTATTGTTCAAAATGGTTCCGAAATTCACCTCATCATGATTGTCACCACCATAATCCTCGGGAAGACACTCATCATCTTACACTGTTTAATCATAGCCTCACACACATACATATATACATATATACGCAGAGACACATACACATATGTATACATACATGTATATTACATGTGTACATATGTATATATGCATATATAAATATATGATATATATACTTATATCCAGATACATATATACATATATGATGCATATACACACATATTTCATGTTTATATGCATATTAAAAGTATCCAAAGACAGAAACATTTCCATGTATGAAGAAATTATATGCATGTTTTTCCACATCTAACAAATTTGGGGATGAAATGTTTCAAAACATGGGCACACACAAACGCACACACACAATAAATGCAAACTTACCGGTTGGCCTCCCCACCATCTATGATTAAATTTCTCTCGCCCCCGCAGATGAAAAGTGGCATCAAATACAGGATCATACATTGAATTGCCAACAATTCCATGTGATTCTGGATATAGCCCCTTTTTGTAAAAGCAAATTTATTGTTAAAATAATAATATGATAATCCACATATGTAAGTTCTAGTATAAATTTTCTTAGCACAGAAGGTTTTATAGCAATACTTAATTTCCAAAATTATATAAGACATATATAACCTTCACTGTGTATCAATCTGAGCAAACATAAATAATACCTATGGGATGAATTATAAGCCATCTGAGAAACTTGATATAAGAAATTTAATATTGTTTTTTTTTACTGCTGTAATTTAATAAGATGACAATAATTTTCATTACGATAAATTAACCTTCAGTTTGAAATTTATACATGTGCCTCCAAAGAAGCTTTTATTTCTAAATACACTTTTCCTTCTTTCTAAATTCTATTCCTCCCCAAAACTATTTTTAAAAAAAGAAATAAATTATGTTTTAAAGAAGAAAGAGTGGTAGAATTTGAAGTACCTGAAAATTAAAATATAGCCCTGAAGTCATCATTTTTATTTGCAAATTCAGAAAATAAACAATAGACCCTTTGGTATTTGAGAGAACTTTAATGTATGTGTTCAAACAGAACTGCACCTGAAAAAAGTTTTCGGCTTTAAAGTTAGAATGAAGTTCAATCACCCACAAAGTTGTAAAAGGCATTTGCTGTGAACAAGTGACCCAGATAAGATGGAAAACAGAGAGATTTTCTTTGAACACTAAGGAACACATTTTAAAAGTAAAGTCTCCCTTTTAAAAGTCATTCCAGGATGAAATCAGCCCATTGAATATATATCATTTGAAAAAATACTTACAGTGGCCAAAGTGTATAAGTTAGGAAAGGTTTTAGTCGGGTACACCGGTCTCATGTAGGGAGAATGTGTGCCGCAAGACCCTGGAAAGAGAATTGCAAATATCAGAACAAGAGAACCAACGGAACTGCTTATAGAAAATCCATTTTATAAACACTCAGATACCTGTTGCCTTCACTTTTGTATTTCAAGTAATAAAATACATTTGAAACTACGTGCCCAGAGAGCTCAAAGCCCACAGCCCACTAGTTACTTTGGAGATCCTGGATTACAGATGAGAACACAGAGTATGGAAATTACTTACTTAGTTTTTCAATGTTAGGCATGACCTTGCTGCCTTTCTTCATGTATGATGCGCGGAAACCATCCACAGAGAAGATGATTAATGGAGGGCGAACAAACCTTAAACAGTAACACATCAAGCTTTTAGAAACGTTATTGCCACAGAGTTGCCATTGCACCTAGTGATTCTCAATAATGGGAGCAATAATTTCCAAGAAGAAACTTCGACCAGGCACGGTGGCTCATGCCTGTAATCCCAGCACTTTGGGAGGCCGAGGCGGGCAGATCACCTGAGGTCAGGAGTTTGAGACCAGCCTGGCCAACATGGTGAAACCTTGTCTCTACTAAAAACACAAAAATTAGATGGGCGTGGTGGCACATGCCTGTAATCCCAGCTACACAGGAGGTGAAAGCGGGAGAATCGATGGAACCTGGGAGGATGGGGCTGCAATGAGTCAAGATCGTGCCACTGCACTCAGGCCTGGGCAACAGAGCAATACGTGAAGTCCAGCATTAAAGAACAAGGTCACAAAAATGGCCTGAGAAGAGGCTTCAGATTTCCGTTAATGTACTTCCTCCATTGCTGGCTTTCACTTTGCAAACAGGTTATTCACATTGTAAAGAAACATGACGTGTTTTCCCATTTGCCACCTGGAAAGCTCCTATTCGTTCCTTAAAACTCAGTTCACAGTTTCCTCTTCTAAATTGTCCATTGCTCACACTTCTGAATTCCTTCAAGACACTAATTCATATCTTTCATCCTTCCTATGTGGCTCATTTTACTTCACATCATAAGGATCTGTTAATGTTTATCTTCCTCACTAGTTTCAAAGTAGTTTGTGTCTTATTCACTTTTCTGTTTTATAGACCCATAATAGGGCTCCAATAAATATTTCTCAAATGCATTAATGAGCAACTGAACATGAAATTAATAACACAGATCTAAGCACTTATTAAAAACAATTGCTTTATGTTTTAATACAAAATAATTTCAAAAATAATTTACATTATTGACGATCTCTAAAAAGTATAACAATAATGGGCTGGACTACCAATCTATCCAGATCAGGATCTAATTTTAAAAACAGCTTTGTATTATATTTTAAAGATATAATTGTTCAACCAGAGTTGAGCATACCGAAATATGTGCAAAGTTATTTCTAATCGTTTGAAGCTAACTGAGCATATAGGCTTGAGTTTATTTGAAGCCATGTAAGAAATAAGACATTTTAAATGAGTCACATATAAAGTACTTAGAACAATACTCTGCAAGTGTTCACTATAATCATTAGTATCTTATATAGTCACTTAAAAGGACTCTTGCTGGCAGAGCGCAGTGGCTCATGTCTGTAACCATAACACTTTGGGGGACTGAAGTGGGAGGATCTCTTGAGTTCAGGAATTCAAGACCAGCCTGGCCAACATGTTGAAACCCCATCTCTATTAAAAATACAAAAATTAGCTGGGCATGGTGGCTACTTGGGAGGCTGAGGCAAGAGAATCACTTGAACCAGGAAGACGGATGTTGCAGTAAGCCAAGATCGTGCCATTGCACTCCAGCCCAGGCAACAAGAGCGAGACTCCATCTCAAAAACAACAACAACAAAACCCTCAAAAAACCAAACATATTCATTTACCTACAAGCCAGTCGTGGTTAAATTGGGACTGCCCAACAAAAATATTCTGTCAGTCATTCACGATCTGAATTCTTATGTATGAAATCTATTAAGTTATGGTACAAATTTAAAAGTCATAAAACATTTCTGTTTTGTAACAAATAACACAGTGACCAGTAATTACTCATTGGTAACTTTTTTGAAATGAGCTATCAAGCCTGCCCTTTCTGCCTTGTTCTTCATGTCTGCGAAGATTATTTTTGTTCCAGGAATGTGCTTTTTGGGATTCTCCAAATAATCCATGAGTGTCTCCTCTCCCCAGCTGGTGCCTTTGTTCTGATGGGCTTCTGTGTAAGAGAATCCAATGGCTTGATCTGTCTTCTGCCCCAAAAGACCATTGACATTTGACCCCGTCTTGAGCTTGCCTCCCTTTCCAACAGTGTGGAACTGAGCACACTTCTGAACAAAAATCCTGTTGCCTTTTTCAACATCACTCATATTTAATTCTCTTTTCGGTCACTGGTGCTATAAAGATTCCCATTTGGAAGACGGGTATTGCACTGTCTTGAATGACTTTTTTTTTTTTTTTTTTTTTTGAGATGAGGGTCTCACTTTTTCACCCAGGCTGGAGTGCAGTGGTACAATCTCAGCTCACTGCAACCTCCACCTCCTAGGTTCAAGCAATTCTCATGCCTCAGCCTCCCGAGTAGCTGGAATTACAGGTATGCTCCAGCATGCCTGGCTAATTTTTTGTATTTTTTTTTTAATAGAGACGGGGTGTTGCCATGTTAGCCAGGCTGGTCTCAAACTCCTGACCTCAAGTGATTCGCTGATTTCAACCTCCCAAAGTGCTGGGATTACAGATGTGTAATCAATAAGTAATCAATGGATTACTTATTGGATGACATAGTCTTAAAAGTTCTCTAGTCTTCCTCTTTTTTTTTTTTTTGAGACGGAGTTTCACTCTTGTTGCCCAGGCTGGAGTGCAATGGCCCGATCTCAGCTCACTGCAACCTCCACCTCCTGGGTTCAGGCAATTCTCCTGCCTCAGCCTCCTGAGTAGCTGGGATTACAGGCATGCGCCACCATGCCCAGCTAGTTTTTTGTATTTTTAGTAGAGACGGGGTTTCACCATGTTGACCAGGATGGTCTCGATCTCTTGACCTCGTGATCCACCCGCCTCGGCCTCCCAAAGTGCTGGGATTACAGGCTTGAGCCACCGCGCCTGGCCTAGTCTTCCTCTTTCACTCTCCACTCCCCCCAAAATCGTCAAAATAAGAACTCCAGAAAAAAATACTGAAAAAAGTCATAGCCACAAATGTATCCTTCTAAGGTGATATTCAGATGCACTTTGTAAAATCTTCAGCTGAGGTGGAATATAGGGGATGTTCAGACCCCAGTATGTGCAGAGGTGATTGGAGAAAACTGGGGAAAAAAATCTATCCCAATTTCAAGATGTTATCTTCAACCTTTTGACTGATAATTACTCCTAAGTACTCATAAGTTTGCCTGTATAAGATGATTTCAGTTTCACATTGTTTCTAAACACTTCTCTTTTCGTTTCCTGTGAGAGTTTATCAGCTACTACATAAACTTCAAAATATTCACAAAATACACTTACCCTGCCGGGCATTCTGGAGCCTTTATTTCTTCGCAGTCATCATCAACCCAGTGGGACTCTCCTATAATGAAAAGCACGTAAATGTATTGTTGAATCTAATTACAAGTGCCATGCCTTGAAGCTCGCAATTCCAGGATGTGTCCTGTTTGATACTTTCTTTATGGGATATCACCAAAACAGAAATTCTTAAGTAAAATCTAGTGTCTGGTTTGGCTTTCCCATACATGATGGGAAAGCTAAGATTTAATAACCGCAAGTGGTGTGGTGTTTATTTGAGCCTTCCGAGTCTAAATGGTTTGTAGATTCAAAAAACCAGTGGCGTCAGTGAAAAAAATTTCATGTTTGTATCCTTCCAGAAATAAACTGTTTGGTCATTAGATGGAACATTCTTTTCTCCACCACTGAAGATCTCAAAGCCATAGAAAGCATGGCAAAACTTCCCTTTAGAGACTAAATAAAAAAGCCTTAGAATCTACGGAGATAATAAATGGAAGATTACAATAGAAAGATTATTTGCCAATAAATCTGCATATAGCCCTTGAATTTAGAAAGAAAAACACCACTAAATTTCACTTTTATCTTCCACCAAGATCTAAGAGCATAAACCTGTCTTTCCTGAGTTACCACTATCAAGAATAGAGAACAGAAAAGGACTCCGATAAAAAATAAGCTTTCCTTTGAAGAAAATAAAAATTATCAAAAAGAATTTGCCTTAAAGTATTTTAAGACAAACAAAAGTTATACGTCCTGAACAGAAGTAAAATTTGTAACCAACACATTGGAGAAACTGCTCCCATGGAAAGAGCACTGGAAATCCCTGGTCAATAAGACTTTAACTACTAGACAATGGGGTAAGTAACTACTATGCTTCCTTAATATAAAGATGATTTACTACACATGTAGTAACCCAGAGCACACACATGGGCCTCAAAAAAGTACTGAAACTAGAATTTTAAACCAGTAAAAACCAATGCTTAATGCTTCAATGATTAATGACACCTAGGGCTTCTTTTTTAAAAAAAAAAATTATTTTTAATATTCTTTGTGGCTTCCTGGTACACTTGCTGCACATGAAAATTAAAAAGGAAAGGGAAATAAATTCTCAACCAATTCAATGCTTGAAAATAAAAGCATAATTGTTTGGGTAGGGCAAATTAACAATACAATAATTGTTTGGGTATGGGGAAATTCTTCGAATTTAATATAACACCCTCTTGGCACAACTAAACACCTTACATATTTCAGAACTGACTTGACTTCTTTCCTGAAATCTCTCAATAGAACTTCTTAAATGTTCCACATCAAAGATAATGAAAAGGGCTTGAATTCGAAATTTTAAAAGTGACTTACAAACTATAGATAAAGATTCTTGGATCTTCCCATGAACTTCTGTAAGTGGGAAGCATGTCAACTTAAACCCTTTAAAGAGAGTAACTGCATCTTTGATATTTTTTGTAGTCCACTGACTATTGTTAATTATTAGAATAAAAGCATCATAACCGACAATCAACCAGACAAAGCCAACACTCATGCATGTATGGCTTTAGGGTATAACAGGAAATGCCGATCCCCTAGTCCCCTTTACTGGAAGTACCCCATCCCTGGGCAGTTGCCAGTGCCTTGGTGAACAGCTTTCATCCAATATATAAAAAAACTCCTGGCCCCTTGCCTCGAGAGTAGCAACTTGGATTTACTTTTCAGAGCAAGCAGTGGAGGGAGGTGAAGCTATATGAGAGTATGTCCTCTCTTCCTTCCCCCAACTCCTACTGCCCTAACCTGCCTCCCTTTCCCCCAACATGGTTTTCCTGTAGTACATCCATTCCCTTAATAAACTGAATAAACAGAAATTCTGGTTTCTATCCTTGTTACTTCAGATCAGTGAAATGCAGAGTAGCAAAGCTAATGAAGACACATGAGAATTAAAAAGCACAATTCACCTTCCTCCCAAACTCATATCCAGGCTCGTCTTGTCCTAACATCCAGGATCTCCTGGAGCACCTCCAGTTTTAATTCTTTTAAAGCTCAGGTCAATTTAAAGAAACACGTACCTTTGCAAACCACTTGGTAATTGGTACAGCAGTCTCCCCTGGCCAAGCAGTCCTCCGAGCAGTGGCAGGCATTTTCTTCATTTCTGACTTCTCCACATCTGTCCTTAGTACACTCCCAGCCACGAGCTAAAATCATCCCAATAAAACATTTTCATTGCTGTGTACCAACCAAATGAAAGAAGCCACAATTGCTTACAGGATTTCCAACGAAGAGAGCTAAAATCTCACATCATTTACTCTGCTTGTGAAATTTGAGTTGGCTTGAGGCCCAGAGGACATTTGGAGACCTTACAGATAAGATGGATTTCTAAGTTTTCAAATCAGAGAACAACATCAAAATGCAGTTGGGTTCCTTTGGAAGAATGAGACCCTGAAAGGCAAGCAAATGTCCCCACTATCCTCCAATAGTTCTAAAGGACCCAACAAATTTATGGCATCGAAGTTTTGTGATCGGTCTATCTATTGCAGGGATGGCCTCTGTAGCTTGGCTCTTTTACCTTCTGAAGTAGGTGTGCTTAGCTTTATTTTTATTTTATTTATTTATTTATTTATTTATTTTGACAGAGTCTTGCTCTGTTGCCCAGTCTGGAGTGCAGTGGAGCAATCTTGGCTCACTGCAAATTCCACATCCCTGGTTCAAGCAATTATCCCGCCTCAGCTTCCTGAGTAGCTGAGATTACAAACATATGCCACCACGCCTGGCTAATTTTTGTATTTTTAGTAGAGACGGGTTTCACCATGTTGGCCAAGCTCATTTCAAACTCCTAGCCTCAAGTGATCCTCACACCTTGGCCTCCCAATGTGCTGGGATTACAGGAGCCACTGCCCCCCTAGCCTAAACTAGCTGTGCTTAGCGTTAACCAGTGTGGTTTAAACTCAAGTAACAGGATGACTATATGGTCTCTATCTGCACCTGGAGGTTAAAGTCCTAAATAAGATGTGAAGAGTATAAAGGGGGCATTACAACATTTGCTCAAGGTTCTAAGCACTGACCAAGTGCGGCCCTACCTACAATGACAAGTCAGAGTTTCTACTTTCAACAAGCCAAGTAAATGGGTTACAGATTTCCCTCTGAGCATACCTGATAGAGAGCTCACTGCTTAATTCCTACATTCAGAAAAATAACCTTTCCATTTTAAAAGGAGTGCTGTGTTTTTTCACTTTTTCATCTGCTAGAATGTAAATTCCATGGCAGGAAAAACGGCACCCCTCTCTTCACTCTTCCATTTCCAGTGGTAGGCTGTAAGGTTGGGAGACTGTGCCTGGCACATGCTAGGTGTTCGATGAATATTTATTAAATTGAATTGGAAATGACCATGAGATAAAATATAACTCTTTAAATTCAGGACTACTGTATTGAGAACGTTTATAGTTAATCATTTACTCATTGACTCTGATGTTTTCCATGTACTCAGTGCTAGGATATCATAAAGAACAGAAGAGACTAGGTCTGTCTTCATGGAGCTTACATTCCAATTGCAAAAGACAGATCATAAGCAAGTAAACCAAGAAGCAAGATCATTTCAGCTTGTGTCAAGTGTTGTAAAGGAAGTAACAGGTAGCATTGATAGAAAAAGGGTGAAAATGCTGCTTCAAGAGGCAGAATGGTCAAGAAAGGTATCACTGAGCTAAAGTGCATATGAACACTTCAGGTCTTTCTCTCTTAAAATATGTCATAAGTGGAAAGAAGGGAATGATTCTGAAAGCAATGCTGCCTCTTAGCAATATTCTACCAAGAGAAACGGTTATTCGGTGAATACATTAATAAAGAGATATTAGTTGTTAGGCATAAGCTAATTTTTGTATTTTTAGTAGGGACGGGGTTTCACCATGTTGGCCAGGCTGGTCTCGAACTCCTGACCTCAAGTGATCCGCCCGCCTTGGTTTCCCAAAACGCTGAGATTATAGGCATGAGCCACCACGCCCAGCCATTCTGGTTTTTAATATCCCGTTTCCATTCCCTTCTCTTTTTGAGCAGATTAAGTGCTTAGAATTGCTATTTAAAAGGATGATGAATATAAAGATTTATCAATACAGATACTTGCCTACACATGCGTACACACATACACAGCTGGAAACATATACATACATATGCACATAAATACATACTGAAAACATACATACATGCTGAAAACACACACACACACACACAGAGTAATCAAAGTTTCGTTAAACACTGGTTGTTTCTAGGCAGTACTCCCTCAGCAAAGGAGACTTTTGTTTTTCTCTTCATCCTTTTATTATTGTTTGATGTTTGGCCCCTTCACATTCAGGATATGTTATCTTTGTACACAGGGAAATGGACTATAAGATATTATCATATCCCATCTTCAATAAACCAAGAAAGGCATAAACTACATTCAGATAGAGAGCTAAGCTAGAGTCAGGGGATCCATTAAATTTTGCAAAGAATTCTAAGACCAGGAACCCAGAAATTGGATATGACATGCCAGAGACAAGACACTCAAGGTAGGAAGGAAACATAAAACTTTAGTAAATTCCTTAGTGCCAAGCAAACACAGATTGCTGGCTTGAAATAATGTTTGAGAGCCAAAAATCTTTGCTGGAACATCTGTTCCATCTATACCTTCAGCTTACAATAGTCTCTCCAATTTAGTTTGCAGACCCACAACTAAAAGAAGCTGGGAGAAGTTCCAAAGCAAAGCAACCCCCCAAAAAGTGGTTAAATGTTTGGAAAATGTATTCTAAAAAAAAACCAAAAAACAAAAAAAAAAAAAAAAAAAACCAGCCTAATGAAGCTCTTCTTATTGTAGGGATGCAGGAGGGAAACAAATGAGAACTAGTAAGGAAGTTCATGTTGAATTTCATATAAATCAAGAGCTACCACTTAAGCAAAACACAATAATAACTGTTTCTAATGATGACATTTGAAAGATCAAACTAACAGCAATGATAGTAAGAGTCAGGTTTTTGAAAGAATTGTCTAAGCATAAAAGTCCAAAGATAAGAAATAACTGGTCAAGAAAACTGTGGAAACTGCTTCTGGTAATGTCAAGAGCAGAACTGACTCTTGTCTTTCTTGGATAGTGTGGGTACGGTGCTGTCCAGGAGCATGATGGATAGCCTACAAGGTATCTCAAAAATCCTATCTGAAATATTGGGCTTTGAAAACAGAGTAGGTGGGATGGCAGAAGTCCCCAGAAGTGTTTTTCTCAATTCATATGCATTCATCCAGAAGCTTGTATATCCTAATAACTGTTCCAGTACAAAAGAAATGTAAAGAAAGTCACAAAAATGTGGAAGATTTTTAGAGCTACCCAGAGTGTGAGACTCCAAATAGAATTCCATAACAATTTTCCATTTGCACAGACATCATGGAATAACAGGCAAACTAACTATTACTATATGATGAGATGAAGTAAAACAAAGGCTAGAAACTGGGTAAGCAAGAAGAAAAAAAATTTTTTAAGAATGTACACAATTAGGCCATGCACAGTGGCTCACTCCTATAATCCTAGCCCTTTGGGAGGCCGAGGTGAGAAGATTGCTTGAAGGCAGGAGTTCAAGACCATCCTGACCAACACAGTGAGACGTTGTTGAAAAAAAGAAAGAGAGAGAAAAAAAGGAAGGAAGAAAGGAAGGAAGGAAAGGAAAGAAGGAAGAAAGAAAGACAGAAAGACAAGAAGAAAGAAAAGAAAGAAAGAAGGAAAGAAAGAAAGAAAGAAAAAGAAAGAAAGAAAGAAAGAAAGGAAGGAAGAAAGAAAGAAAGACAAGAAGAAAGAAAAGAAAGAAAGAAGGAAAGGAAGGAAGGAAGGAAGGAAGGAAGGAAGGAAGGGAGGGAGGGAGGGAGGGAGGGAGGGAGGGAGGGAGAGAGAGAGACAGAGGAAGGGAGGGAGGAGAGAGTGAGGGAGGGAGAAAGAAAAGAAAAAAGGAAACAAATTAAGCTGACATGCCCTAGCAGTGAATGTGGGAACTGAGAGCAAGAGATAGAAATGATAAAGGTGAAGAAACAAAAATGAAAATAAAAAACATTTCCAAACTCAGCACATCACGACTGCAGCTGCAAAGAACCTTCCTCTGCTGGATCTTGTGTGGAAACAATGGTCATTGACACAGGGTATACTCTTCATACAACCAATAATCATTCAACAAACAAAACTAAAATCCACAATTTGGATAGACCAAAACAGGTGGCCACTCCAGGATGTGTACAATAGCAGGCAGTCTTCAAGCTGTCTACTTGAAGCTGGAGAAGACTCGTAAGTTACGTACCTGTCTTCAAACAGAGCTCATCAAAGTCATGGCAGCAACTGGTGTAGCTCTTACACAAGTTGTCACAGCGACAATCAGGAGGTCCAACCTCTTGAAGTTCAAAGCACCTGCCCTTGCAAGATCCGGAGATGTTGGTCCAGGGGGAGTCTGATAGCACTGCAGAGAATGAGAGGCAAAGACAATGGATTGGAGCGTGATTGTGTCACCATGGAGAGGTGCACTGGGAGGCTGTGCAGTGTGATGCTGCTGTAGACTCTGGAGAAGACTGGCTCCATTACTTGCTACCCAGGTACCTCGCACAGGTTGCTGAACTTCCTTGTTCTATGATTTCCTAATCTGTAAAGTGGGGGACTCATAAAAGTAACATGTTGAAATGAGAATTAAATGAATCAATCCATAAAAAAAGACTTAGCAGCATATCGGGCATATAGAAGTGCTGGCGATTGGTTTGATTACTATTTATAATTATCATTACTCCAAATCTGTGATGGTTAGTGTCCCTGTAGGTGCTAATAAGGACTACAGAGAACAGTACCTTGACCTATATCCTTAGAAACAAGACAGCATGTCCCTATTTAAAATTCCAAAACTTTTTGCAGGGAAAATTTAGTCCAAATGTTCCAAGAACAGACCAAATATATGAGATTGGAATAGAAGACTTTTGCAATTCCAACTAGTGTTTTATAAATACAAGCTCTATAATCTCGGCTTCTCAAAAAAAAATCCTCCATCAATATTTTCACATGATATAAGTGTGTATCAGAAATCAAAAGAATCAACTAAAATTTTGGGGAAAAAAAGAATTCAGTGAGATAAAAATTCCACAAATTTGTAATATGCACATAATATAGTTTCAAAATTAAATGGAAGTTTCATTTCACAGTAGTACCTAAATTATAAAATAGGTAAGTATTTTATTTGGTATAAATTTAATAATAGTATGTAGAGCCTATATGAAGAACATCAGAAAACTCTACCAAAAAAATTTTTTAAGATCTAATTAAGACCGGGCGAGGTGGCTCATGCCTGTAATCCCAGCACTTTGGGAGGCCGAGCTGGGTAGATCATGTGAGGTCAGGAGTCTGAGACTAGCCTGGCCAACACAGTGAAACTCTGTCTCTACTAAAAGTACAAAACTTAGCCCAGCATGATGGAGGTGTCTGTAATCCCAGCTACGCAGGAAGTTGAGGTAGGAGAATTGCCTGAACCTGGGAGGTGGAGGTTGCAGTGAGCTGAGATTGCAACATTGCATTCCAGCCTGTGTAACAATAGCAAGACTCTGACTCAAAAAATAAATAAATAAATAAATAAAGATCTAATTAAACCTGAAGACTCAATGCAATCACAGCAAAAAATATCAGGAGTTCATGAAAGTTGAAAGAATATTAAATAAAATAAATATTTTAAAATAGAAAACCTCTGAAAAGAAAAAGCAATTTGATAAAGCCTAGATAGCAAAATATATACTTAAATAATCAAAGTATTTTGATACTGGAAAATAAGTAGATTAATGTTGTGGGTAGGGCCCAATCAGTAAGTAGTGACTAGAAATAATTAAATTTGATTCCCATCCCAATATACAAAATAGTTTCTGATGAATGGAAAATATAAACAGCCTCATGACTGTTTCTAGGAATGAAATTTTTCGTAAAGTAGAATGTAATTTAGAAAGATCTATCAACATTGTTAAATGCTTATAAATGTTTCAGCCAGAAATTTTATTATTAGAAATTTGTTATTTACCCATATTTGCAAAAGTTTGCCAAGCTACATGTACAAAAAAATGTCCATTGTTCATTGCAGTCCTTTCGTTATAGATGAAGAGACCCTGAAGTCAACCAAAGTTGTTTTTCCCATCAAGAAAGAAAGAATCACTACAGCCACAAGTGGACTATTGCACACCGCTGAAAAAGAATGAGTCAGATCTGTGTATGCTAATATGGAAAGATCTACAAAATATATAAATAAGCGTTTTAAAGAATAAAAATAGGGTAGAATATGATATATTAGACTTTGTGTTTAAAAATAGAGATAAAGAGGGCAGTAAGGATAGAAATAAAGATAGAAAGAAAAACAGAGCCAGAACTAGAAACAAGTAAAAGACAGGGTGGGGCAGAGGAAAAATGCAAACGTTCAAGTTTGCATCAGTTTTTTAAAATACAGGTGTGAATAAACGTCTTCCTTCTGTCAGAAACAGTTTACGGAATTACATTTGGGGGAAATGGTTGAGAAAGAGAGAGGAAGAAGATTTTTACCTTTCTGTTGTTTGAAATTTCTAACATTTTACAGATTCACAGGTAGTTGCCTGGTCTTTTTGTTTGCTTACTTACTTTCTCTTTCCTTCTCTCTCATATACATACATACCATACAATATATGTGTGTGTGGGTATGTATATATATGTACAAAATATATACCATATATGTGTATGGGGATATGTGTATACATATGCACAAAATATATACCACATAATATATGTCTGTATGGGTATGTGTATATATGTTTAAAATATATACCATATGATATATGTAAATATCCTAACAAATATTATTGACATGCGATTTCTACATTTTCTTATTTACATGTTTATGAATTTTTCATTTTTTATAATTCATATGTCTTACTTTTAAAATCAAGGAAAAGAAGCAGGAAGAGAACAGATGTTAAATGTCATTTCTAGTTTTGCCCAAGCCATTTATCTGAACATTCTGCTCATCCCTTAGTCCTTTGTCCTCAAAGTCAGAGTCATCCAATCCCAGTCTTTATGGCATCAGATAGGTTCAACTAAGGCAAGCAGATTTACCAGACCATGAGATGTGAAACACTTTTGCATGGTTGATCCTAGGATGTTGAAAGACATATAAACCATACCAGTCCAGTTTAGGAAAGAACACTTGTTTCCAACGCATGGTCCGTAAACCCATATTTTTCTATTGACTTTGGCCAACCTATCCATAGTGCATGCTGAACCATACAAAACCATGGAGGCAGGAGGGGTTGAGAGAAACACCAAAAAAAGAAAAAGAAAGAAAAAAAAATACAGAAAGTCCTACAGTGAAATTACATATAAGGAAAATACTTTCAATTGAATATTCCTTGAGGATACTGCTTAGATAAGACTCATTTCAACAGTCATCTTGTAAATTTTCCGTAGAATTCAATAACTCGAGCTGCTTACATAAATAAACTTAGCTGGCCGGGTGCGGTGGCTCACGCCTGTAATCCCAGCACTTTTGGAGGCCGAGGCACACGGATCACAAGATCAGGAATTCAAGACCACCCTGGCCAATATGGTGAAACCCCATCTCTACTAAAAATACAAAAACATTAGCCAGGTGTGGTGGTGCGTGCCTGTAGTCCCAGCTACTAGGGAGGCTGAGGCAAGAGAATCGCTTGAACCTGGGAGGCGAAGGTTGCAGTGAGCCGAGATCGCACCACTGTACTCCAGCCTGGCCAACAGAGCAACACTCTGTCTCAAAAAAACTTAGCTACACTGGTAGCTGACATACTTCAAAGAGATCTAAAGGTAATTTGTTTACAGATGTGTGGTGTTCCTGCATGCATTTGAAATTGTCCTTCAACCATGCACCTTGCTTTCTTGTCATCAAAATCTCTTCCCTATTTATTTTATTGTTTTTTGTTTGTTTGTTTGTTTTAAAATAGAGTTTCGCTCTTTTTGCCCAGGCTGGAGTACAATGGCACGATCTTGGCTCACTGCAACCTCTGCCTCCCAGGTTGAAATGATTCTCCTGCCTCAGCCTCTCGAATAGCTGGGATTACAGGCACCCACCACAACACCCAGCTAATTATTGTATTTTTAGTAGAAACAGGGTTTTACCATTTTGGTCAGGTTAGTCCCAATCTCCTGACCTCAGTTGATCCACCTGCCTCGGCCTCCCAAAGTGCTGGGATTACAAACTTGAGCCACTGTGCCTGGCCTATTTCTTTCTTTACTTTCAGAATATCTGTGCGAATTTTTAGCCACATTTAATCTTTCTTCACTCATTCTGTCAAGCTGATTTTTACCATTTTCTTGCAACCTTAATCATTCTCTAAATTTGTTCCTTGCTTTGTTTCTGAAAAATAATTGAATCTCACCTAATAGTCGGTCCCTATCAGTTACAGTCCTTGCCAAACCTAAAGACACACAAAATTAAAGACAACTTCGTTAAGAGTTAGCCTTACACTCATAATGCAAAGATGTATCTCAAAAGAAGTACTGTACTTAAGATTAAGTTATTAACAGCTTCAAATTAGAGTAAATTCTTAGGCCTGGGCAGATTAGGATATACCTATGTCAAAATTCATTCTTGAATGACTTGAATTTAGCTGAGAATGACAGGAAGAGAAAAAGGAAGGTAGTTTGAACCATATAGAATCTCTTATAAACCAATAACCCCAAGAAATTAGAGCTGCTATCTTTTTTTTTTTTTTAAATGGAGTTTTGCTCATGTCACCCAGGCTGGAGTGCAATGGCATAATCTCAGTTTACTGCAACCACACTCTCCTAGGTTAAAGCGATTCTCCTGCCCCAGCCTCTCAAGTAACTGGGATAAAGGTGCCCACCATGCCCAGCTAATTTTTTGTATTTTTAGTAGAGATGGGGTTTCACCATGTTGGTCAGGCTGGTCTTGAACTCCTGACCTCAGATGATCTGCCCACCTCGGCCTCCCAAAGTGGTGGAAGTACAGGTGTGAGCCACTGGGCTGGGCCAAGCTGCTATCTCTCTTAAATAAAAGAGAGTGAGTGTATGAGAAGGCCTCGGTAATGCCACAGACTCCTGTGTGCAATGGAAACAACAGTCTTGAGTTGAGTGTACAAAACATAAATAAAATGATTAAAGTAACAAATAAACAATAGAATGGATAATCCGCTTTGCCTTTCCAGGGTCTATTCCAGCCCAGCCATCTTCTTTCATGACACGCTCTAGCCCCAGTTGTTTTCCTAGGGGTTCTGCAATTCACCTTCATATTCTATTTTTAATCATTTTTTATGGATGAGTAATAAAAATACCTCACTTGGAGGTGATAATACATTCATATAGTTGGTAAAAATCAAGTCAGTGTACTTGGGGTCTCCATGTTCCCTGTCCTTCTCTCTACACTGAGCCTAAGGTGTTTAAAATCAAGGAAACGCAAGAAGCAGGAAGAGAACGATG